TCCTGCGGGGGGCTGGGCACCCGCAGCCGCCGCCGCCAGTGTGGGCGCCCCACGCCAGCTCCCGGAGGCCGGGGCTGCCCAGGGCCCCTCCAGGACGTCGAGTACTGCCTCAGCCCGGACTGCCCAGGTGCGGGACGCAGGAGGGCCGCGCCCAGCCTCTGTCCCTTCCTGCCCCTGTCTTTCCTGCTGCTCCTGCCTCGCACTTCCTCTCAGTGGCTGGTTTGTTTCTCCCGCTCTCGAGGACACTCAGCCAACACTTGCGTGACTCTTGCCAATGTGCTATGCGGTGTGTGCGGGGCGGGGGCGGTGTGCAGAGCCCGCCAGCGTGTGGTAAGCCCTGGCGGAGGCTGCATGGAAGGCTGGCGAGGCCGGGGCTTTTCCAGAGGGACAGTCCAGGAGGGCTTCCTGGAGGAGGCAGCAGATGCGCTGTGGAAGATCAGGGAGGTTGGGGGTTCGCCTAGAAGGACAACCTAGGAGGGCTCCCTGGGGGAGGCAGCACGGAGGGCTACAGGTGCTCCTGGGAAGCCTGGAGGGGAGGGTGCGGCCATAGCAGGAAGGGCTGGCCAAGGATGGCGCCCACGTGGGGGCCAGGTGTCGCCGGAGGGGGCCCGGGAAAGGGCTGAGCCGCAGCCTGGCCGGGAGGGAGCTCGCGCCAGCCTGCGTTTGGGCCGGTGCTGGCTGGGAGGCTCTGAGCGCGGGTCCCCTTTGGCGCAGGGGCTGCTGGGTCCACAGTGGAGCCGGTGACAGGCCGTCCAGGTGGTCCAGGTACCCGGGCTCCGGGCTGCGGGGTGCTGTGGGGGCCCCTGCACCCCCTGCAGCCCAGCCTCCCGCCCCCCTTCCTGAGGCTGGCCGCGGGGGGAGGGCTCACCAGGAGACCCCCCGCAGGTGGCTGGGGCCCCTGGTCCCCGTGGTCCCCCTGCTCCCACAGCTGCACGGACCCCGCCCGCCCCGCGCTGCGCGGCCGCACCCGCCTGTGCCCGGGGAACTGCACCCGCGGGGACACGTCCCAGCAGCGTCCTTGCAACCTGCCCTCCTGCACAGGTGCCCCTTCTTGACCTCCGCCCCTGGCCCGTCCCCACCCGCACCTGCCTTCGCCCAACTCAGGCAGCCCCCAGCCAGGGCCCAGCCCCAGCCCCCGCCCCCATGGACCCCCAACACGCAGGGCGTTCGCGCCCCGACATCAACCTGCTCTTTGCCCACCCTGACCGCTGTTGGGGAGCCCCGCCAACCCCCAGCAAGTCCTCGCTGAACACCCCCAAGGTCCCGCCCAGATCCCTCTGCAGGCTCGGAGTCTGGGCTGCCGTCCCCCGCGAGGAAGGGGGACACTGAGGCCCAGATGCCAAGCCACGCGGCGGCCAGTGTCAGATCCGACAGGACACCCGGGGTCTGCAGGCCGCGCCCCGAGCGCCGCCCTGGAGCTGGGGGCTGGGCTGGGGGCCTCCACCGGGTTCCGTCTCCACCCGCAGAGCCGCCCC